ACACTTAACTAGCTGAGCCACCAGGCTGCTTCTGAGTTTTGTTTCATTTTTTAATATAATTTATTATAGCAACTGTTATGGTTAATTTTATATGTCAACTTCACTGGGCTATGGGGTATCCAGATATTTGGTCAAACATTATTTTGGCTTATTCTTTTTTTTTTTTTTTTTAAAGATTTTTATTTATTTGACAGAGAGAGACAGCGAGAAAGGGAACACAAGTAGGGGGAGTGGGAGGGGGAGAAGCAGGCCTCCCGCTGAGCAGGGAGCCCGATGCGGGGCTTGATCCCAGGACCCTGGGATCATGACCCGAGCCGAAGGCAGACGCCTAATGAACTGAGCCACCCAGGCGCCCCTATTTTGGCTTATTCTTATGTTTTTTACTTTTATTTTTATTTATTTATTTAAAAGATTTTATTTATTTGACAGAGAGAGACACAGTGAGAGAGGGAACACAAGCAGGGGGAGTGGGAGAGGGAGAAGCAGGCTTCCGTTGAGCAGGGAGCCTGATGCGGGGCTCGATCCCAGGACCCTGGGACCATGACCTGAGCTGAAGGCAGATTCTTAACGACTGAGCCACCCAGGTGCCCCTGTTTTTTATTTTATTTTATTTTATTTATTTATTTATTTTTAAGATTTTATTTCTTTATTTGACAGAGAGAGACACAGCAAGAGAGGGAACACAAGCTGGGAGAGTGGGAGAGAGAGAAGCAGGCCTCCCACGGAGCAGGGAGTCCGATGCGGGGCTCGATCCCAGGACCTGGAATCATGACCTGAGCTTAAGGCAGACGCTTAACGACTGAGTCACCCAGGCGCCTCTGTTTTTTACTTTTTATTTGAGATTAACATTTATAGCAGTAGACTGAGTAAAGCAGATTGCTCTCCCTAATGTGGTTTGACTTAATCCAATCAATTGAAGGTCTGGATAGAACAAAAAGGCTGACCATTCTTCTGTAAGAGAGAATTCTTGCAACTGGACTACCTTCAAACTGGGACATTGGCTTTTACCCTGCCTTCAGACTTGAACCGAAACATTGACTCTTCCTGGATCTCAAGTCTGCTGTCCTTTGGATGAGAACTACACCATTGGCTCTCCTCATTCTCAGGCCTTTGGTCTTGAAATGGAACTAAGGCCATTAGCTTTCCTAGGTCTCTAGGTTGCTGATTCACCCTTAGGATCTTGGGAGTTGTCTGCCTTCTTAATTTTGCGGACAAATTCCTTAAAATCTCTCTCTCGGGGCGCCTGGGTGGCTCAGTCGTTAAGCGTCTGCCTTCGGCTCGGGTCATGATCCCAAGGTCCTGGGATTGAGCCCCACATCGGGCTCTCTGCTCTGCAGGAAGCCTGCTTCTGCCTCTCCCACTCTCCCTGCTTGTGTTCCCTCTCTCGCTGTGTCTCTATCAGATAAATAAATAAAATCTTTAAAAAAAAAAAAACCTCTTTCTCTCTCTTTCATCTCCTATTGGTTCTATGTCTCTGGAGAATCTTGACTAATACAGGAACTCCGAGTACTGGTCCCTTCAACCCTCCAGGACTTACTGTTATTTGCTTGTTTATTTGTTTAGTGATTGGCTGGATTATTTTAATGAAGTCTGTTTTCCAGTCCCCCACATAGTGTTAAGCCTCTGATGTTGTTCCTCATGGTGACATAGCTTTTGATATGTCCACAGTAACCCTAGGATGACAGTGATTTTGGTAGGGCTCTATTCATCTCTTTTCTTGATCCTACCCAGGTGTTAAACTTTTCTAATTGCCAGCTGATTGCTGTATGTTTTCAACAATGCCCTGGGGCATAAATTGCTCTGTAAATATATACAATCAAATTTGGGTCCTTTGAAATAATCATTTCTGAGGTCAGCATTTATTTATTCTGACTCCAGTAGTACTCCTCCCAGCTGTATTATTCTCTAGCTTTTTCCTGTAGACTAGCTGGCCTGTAATTTATCCTGCACCTCGATTCTTCTCCCAATTAACTTTTACTGCAGCCACTGGTTTTCTTGTGAACACCCTTAGGCTTGAACTTCTCCAAGCTTTGTTGTAAATGAAGTCAGTTACTTTGGGAGGAGATTAGGAGCTACCCGTTCTCTCCTCCTCCCTCCCTCCACCCTTCCTGCTTTTCCCTGGGAGCAAAATCTAAGCCAGGGCTCTGGAGCTGCAGAAAATGGGACCAATGACAAGCTTCTCTCTGAGTGATCCTCCTACTCTAGGATCTGAGGACTTGGTTTTGGGACCTGAGGACCTGTTAGCCTGTCTATCCCTCTGTGGAACTGTTACTGAAAAACCCAAGTTCTGCTGCCTGTAGCTTAAAAAGCCAATACTCAAGAAATGAGGGTTCTCCCCCTTTTCAAGTTTTTATTTAAATTCTAGTTAGTTAACATATAATGTAATACTGGTTTCAGGAGTAGAATTTAGTGATTCATCACTTACATATAACACCCAGTGCTTATCATAATTGCCCTCCTTCATACCCATCACCCATTTAGCCCATCCCCCACTCACTTCCCTCCATCACCTTTCAGATTGTTCTCTCTTGTTAAGAGTCTCTTACGGTTTGCTTCCCTCTCTCTTTTTTTCCCCTTTCCCCTATGTTCACCTGTTTTGTTTCTTAAATTCCACATATGAGTGAAAGCATGCAGTATTTGTCTTCATCTGACTGACTTACTTCACTTAGCATAATATGCTCTAGCTCCAACCACATCATTGCAAATGGCAAGATTCCATTCTTTTTGATGGCTGAGTAATATTGCAATATCTATCTATCTATCTATCTATCTATCTATCTATCTATCTATCTAATCTTTCATCAGTTGATGCACATTTGGGCTCTCTCCATAGTTTGGCTGTTGTTGATAATGCTGCTGTAAACACTGGGGTGCACGTACCCCCTCAAATCTGTATTTTTCTATCCCTTGGGTAAATACCTAGTAGTGCAATTGCTGGATCGTAGGGTAGTTCTATTTTTAACTTTTTAAGGAATCTCCATACTGTTTTCCAGAGGGGCTGCACCAGTTTGCATTCCCACCAGTTTGCATCCTTGCCAACATCTGTTGTTTCCTGTGTTGTTAATATTAGCCATTCTGATAGGTGTGAGGTGGGATCTCATTGTGGTTTTGATTTGTATTTCCCTGATGATGAGTGACGCTGAGCATCTTTTCATGTGTCTGTTAGCCATCTAGATGTTTACTTTGGAAAAATGTCTATTCATGCCTTCTGCCCATTCTTAACTGGATTATTTGGTTTTTGGGTGTTGAATTTGATAAGTTCTTTGTAGATTTTGGATACTAGCCCTTAATTGGATATGTCATTTGCAAATATCTTCTCCCATTCTGTAGGCTGCCTTTTAGTTTTGTTGATTGTTTCCTTTGCTGTGCAGAAATTTTTTATCTTAATGAAGTCCAAATAGTTCATTTTTAAAATTAAAAAAGTTTTTTTCCAAATAGTTTGTTTTTTCTCTTTTTTCTTTTCTTTTCTTTCTTTTTATTTATTTGAGAAAAAGAGAGCGAGCAATTGGAGGAGGAGAGGGAAAGGAACAAGCAGACTTCATGCGGGGCATGGAGCCTGACACGGAGCTTGATACCATGACCCTGAGATCAGGACCTGAGCAGAAACCAAGAGTCTTGACAGTCAACCAACTGAGCCACCCAGGCGCTCCGATCAATAGTTAATTTTTGCTTTTGTTTTCCTTGCCTTTGGCAATGTGTCTAGTAGGAAGTTGCTGTAGCTGAGGTCAAAGACGTTGCTGCCTATGTTCTCTAGGATTTTGATGGTTTCCTGTTCCACATTTAGGTCTTTCATCCATTTTGAGTTTATTTTTGTGTATGGTATAAGAAAGTGGTCCAGTTTCATTCTTCTGCATGTGGCTGTCCAGTTTTCTCAACATTTGTTGAAGAGACTGTCTTTTTTCCATTGGATGTTCTTTCCCGCTTTGTCGAAGATTAGTTGACCATATAGTTGTGGGTCCATTTCTGGGTTTTCTGTTTCTGTTCCATTGATCTATGTGTTTGTTTTTGTGCTAGTACCATACTGTCTTGATGACTACAGCTTTGTAATATAGCTCGAAGTCCGGAATTATGATACCTACAGCTTTTCTTTCTTTCTTTTTCTTTCTTTTTTTTTTTTTTTTGAAGATTTTATTTATTTGACAGAGAGAGAGACACGGCAAAAGAGGGAACACAAGCAGGGGGAGTGGGAGAGGGAGAAGCAGGCAGAGCAGGGAGCCAGACGTGGGGCTCGATCCCAGGACCCTGGGATCATGACCTGAGCTGAAGGCAGATGCCCAATGACTGAGCCACCCAGGCACCCCCAGCTTTGCTTTTCATTTTCAGGATTGCTTTGGCTATTCGGGGTCTTTTGTGGTTCCATACAAATTTTGGGATTGTTTGTTCTAGTTCTATGAAAAATGTTGGTGGTACTTTGATAGGGATTGCATGATAAATGTGTAGATTGCTTTGGGTAGTATAGACATTTTAACAATGTTTGTTCTTCCAATCCATGAGCATGGAATGTTTTTCCATTTCTTTGTGTCTTCTTCAATTTCTTTCATACATGTTCTATAGTTTTCAGAATACAGATCTTTGACCTCTCTGGTTAGGTTTATTCCTAGGTATCTTATTATTTTTGGTGCATTTGTAAATGGGACCGATTCCTTGAGAAGAGATGAGTTTTGATTGGAAAGGAATATGAGTTTTATTCAGGAGGCCAGCCACCTGGGATGAAGGTGGACTCTTATCCAAAAACCAAATCCAAATTTCTGCCTGGCCCAAAGATTTTTGAAGGAACTTTAATCAGTAAAGAGAGAGCATGGTAGTATGTAACACTTATTGATTGCTTGCAGACTCAGTGGCGCTAGCTACAGAAGTTATTGTGGTGCTAGAAGTTGTGCAAGCAGGTTTGTTTCTGAATCTTTCTAGGAAACAATGCATGATCTATAGATATAAAAGAAATGCTTAATCAATCACACAGGGTTAAAAGGTGCTTGCTAAAACTTAAAGACTATGGGGCTTTGTGAAGATGCCGGGGAGTTCCAAGATGCTGGAGTCGGACCTGACAAGTGCCGTCACACTTTTGAAAAAACTTCAGGAGCAGGTGATGGCTGTAACTGCACAAATACAAGCTCTGACAAAAAAAGTTCAAGCTAGAGCCTGTCCTACAGAGAAGGGTCTCAGCCTCTTGGAGGTAAAAGATCAGCTACTGCTCATGTACCTTATGGATTTGACCCATCTCATCCTGGACAAAGCCTCAGGAGGGTCTCTTCAGGGACATGCTGCAGTTTTGAGACTGGTGGAGATTCGCACGGTTTTGGAAAAGCTTCGTCCCTTGGACCAAAAACTGAAGTATCAAGTTGACAAACTAGTCAAGACTGCAGTGACAGGCAGCCTCAGTGAGAATGACCCACTCCGTTTTAAGCCTCATCCCTGCAATATGATGAGCAAGTTGAGCTCTGAGGATGAGGAGGAAGATGAAGCAGAAGAAGGTCAGTCTGAAGCTTCAGGGAAGAAATCTGCAAAAGGAACAGTTAAGAAATATGTTCCACCACGCTTGGTTCCAGTACATTATGATGAAACAGAAGCTGAGTGGGAGAAGAAGTGCCTAGAACGGGCAAAAAAACGGGCATTGAGCAGCTCTGTCATTCGTGAACTGAAGGAGCAGTACTCAGATGCTCCAGAGGAAATCCGTGATGCTCGGCATCCTCATGTTACTCGCCAAAGTCAGGAGGATCAACACAGGATTAATTATGGTGCGGTTAAGTGTCAGTAAATGCGAGAAAGGATGGCGAAAACGGGCCAATGTCATGAGCTCACAGCTCCATTCCCTCACACACTTCAGTGACATCAGTGCTTTGACAGGAGGAACCCCTCATCTTGATGAGGATCAAAATACTGTTAAGAAGCAGAAGAAGATACCGAAGAAAGGTCGGAAGAAAAAGGGTTTTCGGAGGCGACGGTGATTATGGGTGTACATATTTATATGTATATTTGTTGTCATCCTGGGATACTTCTAATTTCACTGTATGTAGGTTTTTTTTCTTTGAAATTCATTGTTTGCTCTGGATATTTGGAAAGATCTTTATTAATAAAATTAACTAATCAATTAATAAAATTGATTTTACTTATGAAAACAAAACAAAACAAAACAAAACACCCCCCAAAACTTAAAGACTACTAAATTGGCCAGAGGGGCCCGAGGCAGTGGCTTCAGAACTACTGTGTTTCTTGAGCTCAGGCAAGGATGATCAGGGCCCTAGTATTCTCAGCATGCCCTACCTAACTTAGAGCCTCCACTCCATGATCAGGGGCTGTGTGAAGGGATTCTCAGCTTTTCAGTAGCATTTGCCTGGGACTTAGCCTCAGCAACAGGTAACTGGAGACAGAATGAGAAACACTGATATCCTGCTCTTCCTCGGAAGGAAACCTCTGACTATGAGCTGGGGGGTAAGTGTGCCCTGTATTCTTGGCTACAGCGTTCTGGAGAGGAATCTCTACCTCACTGAGCTGGGAGGTGGAGGGGAGGGAGCAGTCTTGGTTCAGATATTGCAGAGTCTCACTTTTCTCACTGAATTTTTAATAGTTTGTGTTTTTTTCTGTGTTTTGTTCTGTTTTTAGCAGATATTTCTTTATTTACTGTTTGTTCTTAGGACTATTTTCAGAGGCTTGAAATGTTTTTTTTTTTTGAGATTTATTTATTTGCAAGAGAGAGAGAGAGAGTGCGTGCGCGCATGTGCCATTGAGTGGGGGAGGGGCAAAGGGAGAGGGAGACAAGAAGACTCCATGCTGAGTGCCCAGCCTGACTCGGGGCTGTATCCCAGGACCCTGAGATCACGACCTGAACCGAAATCAAGAGTCAGACGCTCAACTGACTGAGCCACCCAGGAGCCCCGAAATGGTTGTTTTTAAAATAATTTTCACCAGTTTCACTGAGGGCACAGGTCAGTTATGCTGTCATGCTATAAATGGATTCTCTAAGTAGGTAAATTTTATGGTATGTTAATTACATCTCAATGAAGTTATTTATTTTTAATCTTATTTAAATTCAATTAACATATAGTGTATCATTAGTTTCAGATGTAGAGTTCAGTTATTCATCAGTTGCTTGTAACACTGAGTGCTTATCACATCACGTGCCCTCCTTAATGGCCATCACCCAGTTACCCCAACCCCCCACCCACCACCTCCAGCAACCCTCGGTTTGTTTCCTAAGAGTCTCTTATGGTTTGTCTCCCTCTCTGATTTTGTCTTATTTTATTTTTCCCTCCTTCCCCTATGATCCTGTTTTGTGTCTTAAATTCCACATATGAGTGAAACCATATGGTAATTGTCTTTCTCTGATTATTTCCCTTAGTGTAATACTCTCCAGTTCCATCCATGTCATTGCAAATGTAAGATTTCATCCTTTTTGATGGCTGAATAATATTCCATTATATATATATTCCATTTTATAGATCTATCACATCTTCTTTATCCATTCATCTGTCAATGGACATCTGGGCTCTTTCCATAGTTTGGCTATTGTGGATATTGCTGCTATAAACATTGGGGTGCAGGTGCCCCTTTGGATCACTACGTTTGTATCCTTTGGGTAAATACCTACTAGTACAGTTGCTGGATTGTAGGGTATCAATGAAGTTATTTTAAAAAAGAGAGAGAAGCTGTCACATTGTGTTTCAGGATTGAGGGGTTGTAGTCCCTGGCTTCTGGCCATGGTCACCCCTCCCATTTCTCTTGTACATGGATTTCATTAAATAATAAAAGTCATTTATTTTTTAAAGATTTTATTTATTTATTTGACAGAGAAAGACACAGCGAGAGAAGGAACACAAGCAGGGGGAGTGGGAGAGGGAGAAGCAGGCTCCCTGTTGAGCAGGGAGCCTGATGTGGGGCTCGATCCCAGGACACTGGGACCATGACCTGAGCCGAAGGCAGACGCTCAACAACTGAGATACCCAGATGCCCCAAAAGCCATATATTTTTTTAAAGATTCCAACTCCAGATTACCTACTTATTGCAAATTCTTCTTTGACAACTACATACACATCGTCTGTTAGCTGTCAGCATTGTGTATGGGTCTCTTGGGATTCTGTCTTTAGCTTATCCTTATTTGATAGGGTTCTTACCACATTCCCACAAGGTCCTCTTGTTGATATTCCCTGTGGTAATGTAATGACTGTTATTGTATTGCTCTACCATGGCCTGTTTCAAGTTAGCCTCTCTCCCATGGGTGAGCATTTGGATTGTTTCTAGTTTTTAGCAAATATACTGTTTGGTTACAGTCATCTTTGTTCAAGTCTGTTCTTCTCTCTTTTGAATCATCTCCATGAGATGTATTCCCCAATGTGGTATTACTCAGGTTGGGAGTATGATCATTTTTATAATTCTTGACAGCTATTGCCAAATTTCTCTCTGGAAAGATTACACTTGTTTATAGTGCATTCACAATGAAGAAATATACTTATTTTCTCACAGTCCTGTTACCATTGAATTTTGTCTGTTTTGTTTTTGCTAATTTAACAAACGTGCTGTGGGACTTTTATTTTGTATTTCTTTAATGGTTCATGATGCTCTACACCTGTTTTTTTTTTTTAAAGATTTATTTATTGGGGCACCTGGGTGGCTCAGTTCGTTGGGCGTCTGCCTTCGGCTCAAGTCATGATCCCAGGTTCTGGGATGGAGCCCCGCATCAGGCTCCCTGTTCCACGGGAAGCCTGCTTCTCCTCTCCCACTCCCCCTGCTTGTGTTCCCTCTCTGTCTCTCTCTCTGTCAAATAAATAAAATCTTTAAAAAAAAAGATTTATTTATTTTAGAGAGTGAGAGAGAGGGCACAAGCAGGGGGAGGGGCAAAGGGACAGAAAGAACCTCAAGCAGACTCCCCGCTGAGCACAGAGCCTGATGAGGGGCCCCATTTCACAACCCTGAGATCATGACTTGACCTCAAATCAAGAGTCAGTGGTTCAACCGACTGAGCCACCAAGGTGCCCCCTCTACCTTTGTTCTAGTGCTTGTTTATTGCTGACATTTTCTTGTGGGTTAACTCTATGTGTTTGACAATCCCAACTTTGTTTATAACTGTGTGACTTTGGGCAAATCATTAGCCACTTTTCCTCAATGTGATTCAGTTTCTCAAACTGTGGATTAGAAACTGAACTAAAACAGTGTTTACTTTGTTTAGTAAAAGAACTCTTTTTTCCAAACATGATTCTATGTAGATTCCTAATGTTTGAAAGAGATTAAAAGTGGTAGCTTATTAATATATAGTTATTTTATAAGTTAAAAATATGTTATTTCTAAAATCAATTAATTTGAACAATGAGGCAGTCCAGATAAAGATAAAATTTTGCATTTGGGTATTGTAGGTGGCAATTGAAGTTTTTGTATCAGAGCCATCATGTAATTTACTCCTGTTCTTTTAACTTTCTATTTTGGCATAATTTCAGACTTACAGAAAAGTTAAAGGAATAGTACAAAGAATTCCCATATAACCTTCATCTGGATTTCCCAAATGTTAAAATTTACTACTTTAATGCCATCATTCTCTCTGCACTTGCTTTATAGATAATATTTTTTTGAACCACCTGAGGTCCATTTGTAGACATGATGCCACTTTTCCATTTTACTTCATTGTACATTTCTTTTTTTTTAATTTAAAGATTTTATTGGGGCTCAGTTGGTTAAGTGTCTGCCTTTGGCTTAGATCATGTTCCCAGGGTCCTGGGATCAAACCCTGCTTTGGGCTCTCTGCTCAGTGGAGAGCCTGCTTCTCCCTTTCCCTCTGTCTACCGCTCTGCCTACTTGTGCTCTCTCTCTCTCTAATAAATAAATAAAATCTTTATTTATTTGAGAGAGAGACAGTGAGTGCGAGAGAGCATGAGCAAGGGGGAGGGTCAGAAGGAGAGGGAGAAGCAGACTCCCCCCCAAGCAGGGAGCCAGACATGGGTGGGGCTTGATCCCAGGACCCTGGAATCCTGACCAAGCCAAGGCAGACACAACTGACTGAGACACCCAGGTGCTCCTTAATGTACATTTCTTAAAAACAAGGACATTTTCATATAATCACAGTACAATTATCATGTAAAAAAATCACATTGACACAATGGTGTTATTTAATCTATATATCTTATTCAGATGTCACTAATGATCCCAATAATTTCTTTTTCTTTTTTTTTTTTTAAGATTTTATTTATTTGACAGAGAGAGACACAGCGAGAGAGGGAACACAAGTAGGGGGAGTGGGAGAGGGAGAAGCAGGCTCTGCGCCGAGCAGGGAGCCCGATGCGGGGCTCGATCCCAGGACCCCGGGACCATGACCTGAGCTGAAGGCAGACACCCAACGACTGAGCCACCCAGGCGCCCCAATAATTTCTTTTATAAAAGCAAAAGAGAATTCTAGATCATATGTTCCATTCAGTTTTCATGTCTCTTTAGTTTCCTTTAATCTGGATGAATTCCTCAGTTTTTGTCTTTCATGCCATTGTCCCTCAGTTTGGGTTTGTTTCTCTTTCTTTATGATTAAAGTTTATGCATTTTGGCAGCAAACCACAGGCATCATATCAGTTTGTACATGATACTGATGTGTCTCATTACTAGTGATGATAACTCTGATCACTTGATCAAGGTGGTACCTGCCAGTTTTCTCTACTGTAAAGTTACTATTTTTCCCTTTGTAATTAATAATGATTTTATAAGGAAATTCTTTGAGAGTATATAATTATCTTGTTAGTTATCGACCTCATATCCACTAGTTTTAGTATTCATTGATGACACTTCCTTATTACTCTGTTGCTTGCCAAATGGTGGTTTTCTAATTTCATCATTCTTTCTACATTTATTGACATTCCACCTAATGGAAGAGCTGTCCCTTCTCCGTTATTTATTTATATACTTATATCAATATAGATTCAAGAATTATTTTATTTAATGAGTTACAGTCCCTGACTATCATTATTTATTTTGATTTTTATATTGTCCCATATTTGACCCTAGAAACCCCTCCAAATTGGCTCCATATGTTTGACATGTTCTCAGTTTTCTTTGAGCATCTTTTTTTTTAAGATTTTATTTGTCAGAGAGAGAGAAAGAGAGAGAGAGAGCGCGCACATGCAAAAACAGTAGGAGGGGCAGGCAGAGGGAGAAGCAGGCTCCCCAGGGAGCAAGGAGCCCGATGTGGGACTTGATCCCAGGACTCTGGGATCATGACCTGAGCCAAAGGCAGACGCTTAACTGAGCCACCCAGGCATCCCTCTTTGAGCATATTTTTACTTTCTTTCACAATCAGATGATCCAGCCTCCTCTTGTTCTTTCCCCAGAGTCAGCCATTTTTCTGAGGAGTCCTAGTTTTGCATAGGAGGGAATGGTTTTAAAAACCAAGATCTGGGGTCTAGATGTTCTCATTCCTATTGTGGTGTCATTGCTTCTAGGTTCTCTTAGTATATAGACTTAGGATATGTATAAACACATACACACATCTGTGTGTGGATGTGTATTATGCATTTGTATGCATTTGTGTTTTTTTTTTTCTCTTTTTCAGTGTGAATTCCCCCCCCCCTCTTCAGTGTGGTGATGTTATTCAATTGCAATACAGTTTGGTTTATTTATTTCTATTTTTATTCCATTTAGAGTTTTCCCCCCATCCTTATTGATTTTATTTTTTAGGAAATGTTAACAAGTTTCTAAAACTAGAACTACAATAAAGGCTTTAACTTATATTGACCTTAAAAAAACAGAAGAGCCAGTTATTTTACCAGCAAAATGAGTTTACTTGGGAATAGCAGAGGAATTATAATTTAGCACAAGCAAACTATGGTGAGCGGTAGGCAAGCCCTAAGAACAGAAGAGAGAGCTTGCCTTTATAGGAGAAAAGAGGAAGCTGGAAGTGGTGTTTTGCTGAGTTCTCATTGGTTAGGCTATTGCTGGCAGGGAGAAATTCTGCCTGCTTCCTGCTGGGATATGCAAAGAAAGCTTCTTCCAGTTGAGGAATGCAAGGTATGCTTCTTATGGTGAGTGTTACCTGGGTGAGAGCTCTCCCCTCAGGGCCTCTCTACTTCATTTTAGATGAGGTTTCCTTTATTTATTTTCACACATAGATATCTCCCCTCCTCACATTTCTATCCCATTCCAATGGCTACTTGTCCATCATTCTTTCCACTTTGAGTCTGTCCACTCCCAGTAGATAACCAGTTCATAGTTTCAAAGTTGCCCCTTGTGTGTGTATATGTGGTTTTTGTTTGTTTTGCTGCTGCATATTACCTCTGCATAATAGTCCATTAATTGGATGTTCTGTTTTCCTATGAATGGATATCTGGTTATTTCCAGTATTTTTATTTTATTATTTATTAAAAAATTAAAAAAAAATTTAAGTATGCTCCACACCCAGTGTGGGGCTTGAACTCATGACCCTGAGATCAAGAGTTGCACACTCTACTGACTGAGCCAGCCAGGCACCCCTATTTCCAGTATTTTTAAATCACCAATGAGGGGTGCCTGGGTGGCTCTATCAGTTAAGTGTCTGCCTTCAGCTCAGGTCATGATCCTGGGGTCCTGGGATTGAGCCCCACATTGGGCTCTCTGCTCAGTGGGGCGCTCGCTTCTCCCACTCCCTCTCCCTCGGCTATCTCTCTATCAAATAAATAAATAAAATCTTTTAAAAAACCACCAATGAGTAATCTTTTTTCTTTCTTTTTTTACTATTTTATTTATTTATTTGACAGAGAGAATGAGCAAGAGAGCACAAGCAGGGGTAGCTGGAGAGGGAGAGAGAGAAGCAGGCTCAGTAGGGAGCCTGACGCAGGGCTCAATCCCAGGACCCTGGGATCATGACCTGAGCTGAAGGCAGATGCTTAACTGTCTGAGCCACTCAGGCATCCTACCAATGAATAAACTTATGTATGTATATTTTTGTATTGTTGAAGGAATATCTCTCTCTTAATTCGATTCATAATACCTAGAAAAATCCAGATTCGCAGAGATGAGTATTTGTTAATTATCAGTTTTTAAAAAGATTTTATTTTTGAGAGAGAGAGAGAGAGAATGAGCTGAAATCAAGAGTCAGCTGGTTAACCAACTGAGCCACCCAGGTGCCCCAATTATCACAGGGTTAAAATAGGTTGCTTGCAGTCTCAAGCTGTTCAATTAAACTGATTTTGAAGCTTTTAAAAAAGAGAAGGAAATTTTTATTTCAAAATGGAATCAAGACCCACTTATCTCATGGTGTATATTCCTTACAAATATAGATTAAAAAGCACACAAAACCTATAATAAATGCTAAGACAAACAAACAAAAAAACCAAACCCCAAAACCAAACAAACAAAAAAACTCACACCATGACTAACATAAGTAATGTAGATAATATACCTGAAACTCACCTAGCATTTTCTTGGTTGCTGTGCACATGTGCTGTGGCACTGTTCTTTTTTTACAGTTTTACATGAGTAGACATATATAGCCCTACATTTTTAAAAAAGTGAAAAAAGCTTCCTAGTTACTGTGGTTTGAGGAGGTTTATAAATAATACTTCTGTCCCCTGCCCAAGATTGGAACCAGTTAAGAGATTAGTGTGTTAGCCAAGTAAGCTTGCTTATACTTCAACCCTGAACTGGATGGACTTCCCTCATAATAGGCACATCTAAACAGTCTTGGCTTTTTTTTCTAGGAGGGAGGGGGCAGAGGGAGAGGGAGAGAGAGACTCTTAAAGCAGGCTCTACGCCCAGTGAGGAGCCCTATGCAAGTCTCAATTTCACAACCCTGAGATCATGACCTGAGCCAAAATCAAGAGTCAGACACTTAACTGAGCCACCCAGGCTTCCTAGTCTTGGCTTTTCTTGGAGGAGATGGGTGAGGTGAGGGGTGATGTGAAGTGCCACCAAAATTATAGTAGAGAAGAGCAGAAAATGTGTGCTTCGTGCTTCATGCAGGTGGGCAGATCTGGGAGATACTGAGGGAAGGGTTGAGTGAGAATGTGCAGTTCCTTCTCTGAAGCCTATCAGACATATAAGTCAGCCCTGTTCTGGGAGGAATAAGTGAGGAGGAGAAGAGGGGCCAGGATTATTACACTAGTGCTTCCACGTGGAACATGAGGAGTTGTAAATAAATGATTTTCCCAATATTAACAAATGGCCCACTTTATTATTATTTATTTTTTAAAGATTTTATTTATTTGACAGAGACACAGAGAAAGAGGGAACACAAGCAGGGGGAGTGGGAGAGGGAGAAGCAGGCTTCCCGCGGAGCAGAGAGCCCGATGCGGGGCTGGATCCCAGGACTCTGGGATCATAACCCGAGCTGAAGGCAGATGCTTAACGACTGAGCCACCTAGGCGCCCTAATAAATGCCCCACTTTAAAAATGACAAGAAATTCTATGCAGAAATCCAAGAGAAGCTTTAGAGAGAGAGATCAGCACAGAAACATTAGGTAACTTGGATGTAGCAATCACTAAAAGTTCTCTGGTGATTACTTTGCTTTAAAATATATAGTTAATTCATTTTTAATTACACTAGTTCTAAAAGTGAAATCAGGACATTAAGAATATAGTAAGGTTCTGAAGGGAGTTGAGGAAGGAGTTGGGGTCCGGGTGTGGGCAGTCCGGGTGCAGCCAGACCGAGCTGGGTTGGGCATCCAGGTAATAATTTCAAAATGCCTGGACGTTCCAGTTCCAGTTCAGGTTCAACTGGTTTTATATCCTTCAGTGGTATAGAATCTGCTCTCTCCTCTTTGAAAAACTTCCAGTCCTGTATCGGCTCTGGAATGGACACAGCTTCTAGGGTTGCCTTGGATCTCGTGGAAACTCAGACTGAAGTGAGTAGTGAATACAGTATGGACAAGGCAATGGTTGAATTGGCCATGATGGATCGGGAACTAAGCCATTATGTAAAGGCTGTTCAATCTGCAATAAGTCATGTAAAAGAAGAACGTCCAGAAAAAATACCAGATCTAAAATTATTAGTGGAGAAGAAATTTTTGGCTTTACAGAATAAGAATTGTGATGCAGACTTTCAAAATAATGCAAAATTTGTACAGTTTAAACAACAGCTGAAAGAACTAAAGAAGCAATCATTCAGGTCAATGGCATTTAGTACACTCGGGTTGTTAATGCCGTCCTCACCACCATCCATCTCTAGCACTTTTTCATGATCCTGCACTGAAACTCTGGGCCCACGACAAAGTAACTATACAGACCCTGATAACCACCGTCCTACCCTCTGTCTCTGTTTGACTTTTGTGGTAGGTACCTCATTCATGTAAGTGAAATTAAACAATATTTGTCCTTTAAAAAAAAAAAAAAGAATATAGTAAGGTTCTCTTTCATCCCAATTTTAGACCTCTAGCTCCCTTTTTAGAAGTATCCTATATTTTCTGCTTATTATGTATCCATGTATCCTCCCAGGCCTATGAAAATACTTCTACATGTATCTGTTACTTTAAAAAATGTGATATTATTTGTATAAGAGTTTGTGTTCACATAAGTGGAATCATGCTGAGCATGTCATTCATTCTTCTCTACTATGTGCTAGTCATTCTTCTAAGTACTGGGGATACAGCAATGTAGAGAATAAAGTCCTATTCTCATGGAGCTTGCATCATCCTGCAACTTGCCTTTTAAAGTTAATATCATGTTTTGAGATGTATCCATGATGGCACATGTAGATTTAGTTCATTTATTTTAATTGTTCTATATTATTCTATGAATATACAATACTATTTAATATATCATTCCCTTACTGATGGACATTCAGATTTATACCAATTAGGATGTTGTTTACTGTAGGTAACAAAACATTACCGATGTAAATATTAAGGGCATTTATTATTTCACATTATAGAAAATCCAGAAGTTGTTTTTTAAAATTTTTTTATTTTTAACGATTTTATTTATTTGAGACAGAGAGAGGGAAAGCACGAGCAGGGAGCGGGCCAGAGGGACAAGCTGACTCCCTGCTGATCGCAGAGCCCAACATGGAGCTCAATCCCAGGACCCTGAGCCAAAGTTAGACACATAACCAACTGAGCCACCCAGGTGTCCCAGAAAGTCCAGAAGTTGAATGGTTTCCGGGTCTATATGACCAGGGCTCTCACCCTGTTATTTTCTATATTTTCCTCTTCAAAGCTGTGTATTAGTTATCTGTTGTTATATAACAAATTATCCCAAATCTTAAATAATAAACATAATTTTTGTGGGTCAGGAATTTGGGTATGGCTTAGCCAGGTGTTGCCTTTTTTTTTTTTTAATTTTTTTAAAAGATTATTTATTTATTTATTTATTTGACAGAGAGAGAGACAGCGAGAGAGGGAACACAAGCAGGGGGAGTAGGAGAGGGAGAAGCAGGCTCCCTGCTGAGAAGGGAGCCCGATGCAGTGCTTGATCCCAGGACCCTGGGACCATGACCTGAGCTGAAGGCAGATGCTTAATGACTGAGCCACCCAGGTGCCCCCAGGTGTTGCCTTTGACTTAAAGTCTCTTATGAGGTTGTAGTTAAACTGGCACCTTGTGGGGGTGGTGGTGGAGGTGGAATTCTCTCCCACATATGGGTCTCTCCACATGACTGCCTCCTGACATGGCATTTGGAGTCCCCCAAAGTGAGCAAATGTAGAGGGTGAGAATGCCCAGGAAGGAAACCAGGGAACCACAGTCTTTTTATAACCTAGTCTTGGAAATGCATCCCATCACTCTGCCTCATTATATTTTTTAAAAAGTAAGTACAGCCCACCCTCAAGAGTGTGAATGCCAGGAGGTGGGATGATTGAGGGCCATTTTAGAAGATGCTTATCAATGGCTGGTTACAAGATGGCTGCCAACAACAACTGAATCAGCATTCTTCTCTGAAGTAAGAATTCTGGCCTTGCATTGAGACATTTTTGATCTCCCCTTCCCAATTCAATTCAGTCAACATGTATTGAATGTTTGCTTTTGTCCAGGCTCTTTGCTGCTTGCTGGGGTTACATGGATCATGTCTTTAGAAAGCTCACAAGTCTTATAAAAGAGATAGATATATACAGCAAATAACTCCAGTATACGATGGGTGATCAAATGTCCCAGCAGCCAAGGAAGCAAGCAGGAGCATTGTGCTGGGGTTGAGAGACAGCAACCTTGGACCTGGGTCTCCTCAACTGGTATGTGCATTCTCATTCCAGAGATGAGCAAGAAGCAGGGGTTGGCCAGGACCTTGGGTGTCCCATAGCAGGGGCACTCAGGGCATTCCCTTTTCCAGTGTCCCTCCTGGCAATAACTGCCTTGGTTTCATCCCAAGTTGACGATTCCCTATCAGTTGTCTGGTCTTCTGGACCTCCTAAGGTCACCTGGAACTGGTGGGTGGATGAATTAGGGGAGCCAAAAGCTGCATCTTTTTGGCCAATTTCCTAGCTCTATTAGCTTCCTCTGCCTTGTCCATGTTATTATAGACCTTGAAGGCCTCTTCCACCAAGGTTGACAGTGGAGTCTGAGGGCTAGCCTCTAACTTTTGTAATTTTCTCCAAATGTCTAAAGCAGATTGGATAATAAAATGCATGGCAAGCAATGCCCTTTTCTCTGCAGACTCCAGGTCTGTTAGTATAGTGGGCAATCTTCACAGAAGACAATGAGATCTAACCGGGTGACAAATTCAACTGGCACAGTGACAAAGAAGCCCACACATCCCCTCCACAGACAGGGACAGAGGGAAGAAGTACCAAGAAGTTTTAAAGAGGGTAACAGAACAGGGAGTCTCCACGTTGAAAGCGGGCAGGGGGCAGAGTGGGGGAAGCTGGAAGAGGAGAGGGAGAAAAAGGAGGAAAAGAAATCAAACAAGGGGCAGTGGAGGGAGGCACTCTGTCCACTGCCCATTGGGGTGATCAGGCCAAGGGAGTCAGTTTTTTCAACCCATCCCTTACTGGTTTCTATTCAGACAACTTGGAACCAGGGAATGAGAGGAGAAAGAAGAAAAAAAACCCCACAAAGTTTTCCTGTGGCTACCAGACTTCCAGCTATTAGCCTACACTGTGTGAGGATTGTATCTCCATCACTCTTACTAGTCCCTGGTTAGGGACTGCCTGTTTGACCAAGGTCTGCATGGTGTGAGGTGAGCCTTTCCCACCTCTACTGGTTAGTTACCTACCAGAGGGACCAAGTTCTCACAGGCTGAGAGGAGTTAAGCTGTAGCTATCTTGTAGCCATCCCATTAGTAGAGTATAAGAAGGAGGGGGAAAAGCATGGAAAAGAAGAGAGAAGTTAAAGGAGGAGGGAAGGAAATTGGGAAGGAAAGGCAAAAGGAAAAATGTTACCTGAATGAGAGTAGTGGGAACCCCTGGGATGCTGGAGGCTGACTTACCTAGCACGGTGACACTGAACCAAAGGTTCAGGTGGCTGCTTGTCAGCTCTGAAGGGGTTGCATCCAGCTGTCCATCCGCAGGGGTCCCACACATCCTCCTGGAGTCCTGGTGGAGTTGCCAGAAAAGTGTGATACCAACCTCTAAGGAGACTTAGGTGGGTAAAGGGTGACATTTAAACATGTAGAGGTGGGAAATTCTTGACACCTGTGCACTTAAGGGTCATGCTTCTTCGTGTCTCACATGTCTAATTAGCATGTGAAATCTCCACCCTTAGTATTATAATGAGGGAAAAAGGCAGTGTAAGGTCAGCATTGGTGGCCATCTTGGCATAGGCTGGTTTGATCCAGTCTTCACCAGTCTTCATAGCTGAGTCCTTCCTTTCCATAAACATCTTGTTTCCACATTCCTGCAAGATACACTACTGTGATGCATAGAGTTTTAGCTTTTCTTTCTATGGAGAGCCAAGGAATGCTGGATTTTGCAGTGAGGGTTGAGGGGACCTGAGTTTAGTCCCTGCTCTGTCTCATTTCAGGAGACTCGTGAACCTTAGATTAGACTACTCCTGCTGTTAGAGAAGTGAGCCAGAGCTTACAATATATAATTAATCTAGGTCAAGTACATAAAGCAATATCAGACCTTGCAAACAAAATACTACCAGCCCCCACCAAGGATGAGGTTGAAAAGAGGACCCCTCCACAGGTTAACCCAGGAGATCAAGTCCTTCTTAGAACTTGTAAAGAAAACTCCCCAGAGAACCCAACTGTTGCCTAAATGGAAGTGTCCCTACATGGAGTGGCCAGAGTGGCCAAGAGACCCTCTGGCCACTCCAAATGCAGTCAACTTACAAGGAGTCCCTAACTGGGCACATCTTTCCAGATTAAAATTCCTCTCTCCTGAACATCCACAGAACCATCTAGAAGACCTGAAGTCATCCTACTCCTGTAAGACTGTAGAAGACCTTAAATATATATTCCAGGGGCGCCTGGATGGCTCAGTCGGTTAAGCCTTTTTTTTAAAGATTTTATTTATTTATCTGACAGAGAGAGACACAGCGAGAGAGGGAACACAAGTAAGGGGAGAGGGAGAAGCAGGCTTCCCGCGGAGGAGGGAGCCGGATGCGGGGCTCGATCCCAGGACTCTGCCTGGGATCATGACCTGAGCCGAAGGCAGACGCTCAACGACTAAGCCACCCAGGCACCCCTGGTTAAGCCTCTTTAAGTCCTGAAGACTCTTTCGTTTGTGCTATCTTCCTTGTGCTGTAGTGTAAGCCCCAATAAAGCCTTGCTCGGAACTCCTGTTTGACTTCTTGTCCATTTGTATTGTTTAGCCAACTCAAGGGCCCTTTTCAGCATCAGGGTTAGAGGACGCAAAGGAAAAAATGGTTAAGTTGGATTTTGGAGGATCAGGTGGTAGGTAGGTGACTTGGGAGGATAAGAAAAGGTCATTCCAGCTCTTTGAGGAAGACGCGGTCGCAGCTGCAGCGGAGGTTTGGGCGCCCCCGCTCCTGCTCCTGACTCACCACTGTTCGCTCTCACTGAGGAACAAGTCGGTCAGGAAGCCGCGCCGCAGCCATGGCTTTTAAAGACACCGGGAAGACACCCGTGGAACCGGAGGTGGCGATTCACCGAATTAGAATTACTCTTACCAGCCGCAACGTAAAATCTTTGGAAAAGGTATGTGCTGACTTGATCAGAGGCGCAAAGGAAAAGAATCTCAAAGTGAAAGGACCAGTTCGGATGCCTACCAAGACTCTGAGAATCACTACAAGAAAAACTCCTTGTGGTGAAGGTTCTAAGACCTGGGATCGTTTTCAGATGAGGATCCACAAG